TTAAATTGTACAAACGAAGATTATTGAAACTTATTTGTTATTTATGGAGAAAGTGATAAAGTTATATCAAGAACATGTGATTCAGTTGCCAATCGACACCAACAACAACAGAAGCTCTGTGCTGCTAAACAAATTATACAAAAAGAAAATCATCCAAAGATAACGTAAAGATAAAAATTATTGCTCATTTAGGTTTTAAGCCTCTATGTCAAACATAGAGGGTAAAAAGTAACTGTAAATGTCAGTAAAAGTAGTCGTAAGTGGGACCCTCTAAGAGCAAAGAAAAAAATGCAACATGTATCGTATGCGCCGCCTAAATAAACATAACATGTCAAATTTTCATGTTCATAATTACAATAACAAATTAAGATGTGAACACGTTTAACATCCTGTATTTCGGAAACGGCATTTTCGGACCCCGTTTTCGTTAATTTATTTCCTTAATTTGCTTAGCGAGATCTTATTCAGGCTTTTGTAACCACAGCTTTAAAACACTCTGTATATTTAATGCCAAGGACAAATAGAAAACTAAGTTTTCCTATGCCTAACTCCTTCCGTTTCATAAAAAAACGTATATTTTGAGGATCCATTTTTAAGTGATGTGTTCTTATGAGGTTCGAACTTGACCTCCCTTATACAGAGCAATCGAAATTTTCGCAAGAAATGGTCTCAAGGACAACCTTCACGAGAAATTGTTTAAAAGATGTGTTGTTTTTAGAACCATTTCTGGTACTTCAATTGTAATTACTGTGTGCTTACAATGAAATTTTGAAATTAATTCATAGAATGAATTCGTGAAACGTTACTTATTTTTAAAAAAGCGTTGTAGCTTTTCGGATAATTTCGTATATTTTCTGAAGACGACAATGCGACAATCCGGTCGATGACGCACAGTTTGAATAATTGATACGTTTTCGATTCGTTTTAATTCAATGCAATTACATTTGCCTTAAATGTTTGATTATTATTGCCTAAAAATTCATGTTCCTTTGATTATGGCATAGAGCGGTTTCCCACATATAAAGTAACATTAATTTTTTAACAAAAAAAGTTCCATAAAATTCCCTTATTACAATGCGACTTTAATTCATAGAAAGTTCAGTTGAGTGTGAATTAGGAAAGTCTGGTAGTTGATATTCATACTCACAAACAGTATTTTGTGAATAATTGGATTGGATAATTTTAAGCACAGCCAATCTTTTTCCCCGCATTAACATCATTAGGTCAAACTGAAACTGCGACGTTCTTTGGCTCAAAAAACGGCGGTCTGATTTTATTTTCATTCAGTCTGGCTTCTCGGCTAGACCAGTTTTTCAAAAAAACTGTTATTTTTTTGAAATATCGGGATAATATTACGATAATGAAACTTGCTGTGGATGGGTTACTATTGTGGTGAAGCTGCAGCGCCCATCCGCATTAGCAAATGCTAAATTCTGGGCCTGGGTAGAAAAGCAAGGAGAC